GTAGCTAACACTGGCAGAGCTAGCACCACCAGCTTTCAGTCTTTCTTCCAGGTTGACAACATATCTTACTGGCTAGTATGAGTAGTAACATGTCGGTTGAACCAACCTACACACAACTTAATCTCCAAATACAGCCACTCAATCACATATTATCTGTCTGTGATCGTTTACATTGGGCTGGTAGAGTATCATAGCATCCTGGCTGTGCAAAAGCTTAGACATAAAAATATTAATTTATTTTACTGACTGCATGACCAGCAGCATTTGATCATCTAGTCCATAAAACATACACACATGTAGTTTGGTAAATCAATATAACCAAATACTCTAAATTCAAAAGTAGATATTTTCCCATCTGTGCCTGATTTCTGTTGTTAAGACTGAAGTTTGGCCAAAATTACCAAAATAAGAAAGCCATTATCTGATGAAGATATACCCAATCATGTCACAAACTCAAAGCCAGTTAGTGACATGACGACGTCTAACCTGTTGTAAATGAGCGCATCATCTCGCAAAAATATCTAAATTTCTCATTTTGAACATTCGGTACGTTGTCTTTATGCTGTTTTCAATAAATTATGGGGTTTCAAAGTTTTCAAATCATCACGGGGTTTTTATTTCCAGCTCTGGGGTTATATATTTTGCATCCTTGACAGAGTTATCTCCCGAGCACTTTTCCCATCTTAAATAAAGCTCAGAGATCTGCGGTTTGGCTGTTCAAATCTCCCTCAATAGCTTTTTCCCTCCCAGAGGTGGTGTAGCTAATGTGTCATTCTGCTGACTAACAAAAGCCCGACGTGAGATCCGAGAATCAACAGATGTTAGAGCGGTGCAAAACAACAAAAGCGCCGTAATAAATATTCAATAATGAAAAAAAAAAAAAAAACACTCCGATTTTTATTAGTATTCAGATTGAGCAGAAACATGTCAAAGCTAAAGGAAGGGTTACACTTTACAGTAGAAGGTGTGGAGGAAATAGCCCACAAACCTGGAAATGAGCCCTGAGACCTGTTATCAGATCTGCTCGGCCATGGTTTGCATTAAAAACGATTCCTTTCATTTCGCCAAATGGGGCTGGTCCGTGTGTCTCCTGGCTCACAGATGGCCGGTACAGTTTCCCGCCTGGCTCTAGGAATGGGCGTTGATTCAAATGAATTTCCATTACAGAAAACTGGCTGGCTCGAATAAATCATAATAAAAATGGAACTTGTGGCCTGTCATCTCTCAAAGATCGGCTACCTTGGGACACTGCTGAAACCTCTCCCATCATATGCCCCAGTGAAGCAGAGACGATGGGAAAGAGCAGAGAGAGAGAGAGAGAGAGAGAGAGAGAGGGGATTTCTGTGCCAGAGGGGGAGATTTTCAAAGCAGATTAAAATACAGTTCTCCTTTTAAAGCCTTCCTCCCAACTATAGTGCCCAGTGGATACAGCTGTGGATGTAGCCGGACTGTACGGTCACTCCTCTGTGCTGCTTTTCCCCGTCCCTCTGTGACTGTATCATCTGAAATTAGTCTGATAAATCATCCACGCTACATGGGAACGGCCTCATACGCTGGAGGAAGGTTTTAGGGTTTTTGGTCACAGCCGGCAGATTTATCAGCTGTTGTCTGGAAGCAGAATAAGGTGTGTGTGTGTTTGTGTGTTTGTGTGACTCAGTCAAATACTCACCAATTAGATGGGATGGATAAATGTCAGGCTCAGAGATCGTCTGTTTTAGTCGGAGCAGTTCGGTGAATATTTTTTGTCACTTCTTACTGACATTAAACATGTCAGCGTGTCGCTCTGCCAAAGCCTCTGCCTCTTTCAAATTGGTCCTCTGGGGGTCGGTGTGTAATCTTTGTGTTTTTTCAAATGTCACACACCGGTCAGACTTCATCAGGACATGATTTCAATCATGTCCTCAAAACACACCGCGCCCCGAGAAGACAGAATAGCCTGTAGACTGAATACTGTTGTAGATGGCTGACACATAAGATTAAGGGCCTGTGTCCACTGACGATTCACACTATGATGGAGCGTTCACACCAAGCGCGAGTAAAATCATCTACTCGCTTAATTCACGCGAATCTAGACTTGTGAATGAACAGTATTTACTCGCTTCATTCGCGCGAATTACTCGCTCTATTCACAACAATCATTTCAGTCCATTTGCGTGATTTGCGTGTCAACAGAGTTCTTAAAAGCCATGGATAGCCGTTTATGCTAACTTTAACAGTGATCCTTGCCCAATCAACCGGCGGGATCAAGTGATAGACAACAGTTTTTCACAATTTATCAGATCATCCGACCTCCTCACTCTCCTCCAGACGAGCTCCTTTTTATTCCTGCTTTTATTAAAAAAGTTGTGGATACGAGAGACGAGGGAGAGTCTCCATCTAGCATGGTAGGAGTGAACCTAGGGTGACCATATTCTGACTTCACAAAAAAAGGACACAACTACGCGGGGGCGGAGTCACGGAGTCGCACCAAGTTAATTTTGAGAGTTTGTCAGGTCGGATCGAGTGTCTTTTATGGGCTCCTAAGTAAGTAACTCAGTAAGTCCACGTGACACAAAATCGAAACTTGGGTACAAAATCATGGACATTTGAGGGATTTTATAAACTCCCCTGAACAAAGCCAGTCAAACCCAGACAGGCCGGACAGTCCCCCAAAAAGAGGATGGGTATGTCCGGGTAGAAGAGGACCCTAAGTGAACCACGTTCACATGTTTTGTTGTGGAAGGCCCAAAACCGTTGGAAATGTAGGCGTCACCGTGTCTGGGTCTTATAGCTGCGCTCAGATGACGGCCCTTTCCAGCGGTATTTTCGGGTTACCTGAACCCAATTTCACGGCCTGTTAGTGAGTGTCGGTGGCAGGATATCCCTCCCTCCATAATAATCAGCGTTTGTTTTCTGGCCCCGAAAAAAAACAACACTTGTCGACCCCTGACCCCAAAACCTAATAAAAAACCGAGCAAATCTACAGATGTGATAAACTCTAAATAGACAGTCGTCACATTTCTGATGTAAAAGTAAACATGTTCAAATTTGAGTCTGCTTCAGTGAATATGATGTTAAAATTCAGACTGTAGATGAGTTCATCATCACAGGGATTAATCTGCATTATCATTAATAATCCTTTTCCTGTTTGTGGGTTTGTTGCGACATCAAAAACTCCTGATTCTGGCTCTACATGGAGACGAGTTGTTTTTGAAAACGTTCACTTTCAAAAGGACAAAGGCTCGTTGAAGTCCAACTGTTCATCTGGGGAAAATCCTCCGGCTGTGTTTGGTGGTATTTTGAGTCGTAATCGCTCCTCCTCGAGAACATTTATCTGCCATATCCATCCAAAGACATATGAGATCTTTAATTTGTGGCGTAGTGGCTTTTTCGGGTGGAAATGTTGATTTTCTTTCACTCCACTGTGGGCTGACTCCTGCCAGCTTTGCTTTGGTACTTCTACTTTATTGGAGGGAAATCTTTTTTGCTCAGCTGCAGGATATTTTCAGTCAAACAGCTGTATCATATTATCTGCATTCAATATGAGTTTTCTTTCCCCCCAACTGTACACACACACACACACACACACACACACACACACCTAGAAGCAAAACAAAGTACTTCATTTCCCCTCCAGAAACTTAAAGATGCTATAAAAGAAAAGAGATGAAAAACCAAAACAAACAAACGTCATAAAGTGGGATGAAGCGTCCTGAAAACACACGCTATTGCTCCATAATGTTAACACATGGCGCTCTGATGCAGTAAGTATATGCAATAATGCAGCTTTTTGCCTTGACTCAGCAGCACGCTCCGCTATTCTCACCTTCATCCACTTCACTCGGACAAGTTTATGCCCCAAACGTTGTCACTCATCTTGATGAAGAGTCGACACCAAAACAACATCTCGCCTGAGGCGCAGCAGCAGCTAAAAAACTCATCAGAGGAGATGAAGGAGCAGATGGCAGACGCAGCCGATCTGTGAGTGCAGATGCTAGGTGCAAAAAGTGTGAACTCCTGCTGTACCTCAAATTACTCCTGTCATTGATTATTCAGGATTTACACTGATCAGGAGAGTCGGGTTTTCATCAAACACTCATCCAGTCAAGATTGATGATCTCTGACTGTTCTGATAAAACTGATGGACGATGTTGTGATTGTAGCTCTGAGTTCGTTTCCACATATGAACACAGAAAATATGATGAGCATTGTTTGAACAGCGTTACATTAGCGCCAAATTAAAAATGAGTGACAATCATGTTTGTTTTCATCTTTATGCCCTAGAATAAATTGAACAGGGAGTTTTCCTTGTTAACAATAAATCAACCAGAAGTAAAAAAATAATAATCCAAACAAAATCTCCACAGATTGCTTAAAATCTACAAACTGCGTTATCCCGCTAAAGTTGTCTGTGATCTAGGGGCGTGCGATCTGATGATCATAGATGGTGAAGGATTAAAAAGTGACGATGATCTGCCAAAGCACGGAGATCGTAGAACCGTCTGTAGTGTGTGTTGTATCCCTAACGTGTCTGAATAAAGTTGTTGCCCCTCAAATCAAGATTTTAGAAGTTAAAGGAGCACATTTTAATTTGACAACAGAGTTAATGTGTTACAACTAGGGCCGTTTATCGATTAATCTCAAACAAGCTAAAATTGGCTGATTTAACCAGTCGGGCCCGTCTTACAAGTTGATAAAAGTAGCTGAAAAATCTGTCAAAAAAAGAACAAGATACAGAGTATTACAAATAATACAGATAAATGTTTTGCTGTTTGTCGTTAAAATCTGGACATTTTATTTCATATATTTTTTTTACGCCCCCCCCCCCCCCCCCAAAAAAAAAAAAAAAGAAAAATTAAATAAAAAAATAGTGATGAAATCGTGATTTAGCAAAAATAAAAAATCAGGATATTAATTTTTTTCCCCATATTGCCCACCCCTACTGTGATTCTTCTTAAATGTATGGCCCATTGTAACAGGTCCAGATACAGGGGTCTCCATTTCAAATCAGAGCTGCAGGCAGGGTTAGGGTTAGGGGGTTAGGGATGTTGATCCCATGCAGTGATTTCCACTACAGAGTCATATCTTTATTTTTCACATTTTAGCATTTAATTTGGTGCCTTTACTATTTTTAATCATCCAAAACCATCAAATTCTGTTTTTAGTAAGATTTTGTGCAGCCCCTCAGTTTTTATGGATTATTTTGATTTCATTGTAAATTATTTAATTAATAATAGTGTAAAAAAAGGAAAACCTCCTTCATTCAGTAATACAGACCTTCACTTACAGAGCACTGATGGACAGGTGCAGCTGTTACAAACAAGCTGCCGCACAGCTGTGAACACCGACACCAGCAGAGAGGTTAGAGGAGCCGACAGACAGACGGACAGACAGAAACAGACAGACACACAGACGGACAGACACACAGACGGACAGACACACAGGTTTACAGAGGGTCTAAACTCTGTGCTGTTTCAGTCTGAAATTGTGTCCTGGAAAAGTAAAATTGTCGATGTATTTACTCTAAATTTCAGTCCTGGTTGCTCACTGAGAGAGAGGGCTGTTTCTGGTTTTCTGGTTTCCAATCCTTCCAGCTGCAGCCGACCATTTCAGTGACCTTTGACCTTTGAGCAGCCTCGCTCTCCCGCTCTGGTTGTTGTTCTCCCATCAGGGTTTCTTTCAGAAGCTCTGCTGCCTGTGAGGGAAAATAAACGAGAGGCAGATTTAAAAAAACAAACAAAAAACATCTGAATTTGTGTAAAAACTCCATAATTTTTTCAATGACTTTGCGAATATTCTCCATTAGTCCCTCTGGCCAAAGATGTGCAAACACACACATCAATATGCAGACCTGTGGATGTACGTGTTCATGTGTTAAAAAAAGATTTTCTCTGAACATATTTTACGATTATTTTTCAGTAAATGCTTCAAATGTTGGCTTGAGGTCACAGAAAATGTTTGATTTTACAAACAGAATTTATTTTAAACTCGTCGACCTCTTTTTTAAAACTTTAATGGCGGTCATGAGAGTTTAATAGGAAAGTTATCATCCAATCAGGAGGAGCCGCCGCCATCTCCTGTTGGTGTTAATATGAAAATGAAACACGGCACCGAGTGCTGAATGCACTTGTGCAGAAAGAGAGTGAAAAACAGCGAGTCTGAGTGAGAGACTGTGTCGAGCTGATGAGTACAGATCCGCCTGTGGGTAGATCAGACTTTCCTTATTGAACTCCACACTGAAGAGAGGAGATCATCCATCTCTGAGAGAGACACAGAGCTATTACCTGAAGATGGACCGATTGTGGTCGTGGAAAAAGTACCGCAGCTCTCTTGGTACCAATTTAACTCGTCGACGTGTTTCTACTTGGACGTACTTGGAAATAACAGTGTGGTTAATACGTTTAAAAAAGAGAAAATAAATCAGTGTGTGTTTCTGTTGTTTGGCAGGATGACCCCATACTCAATATAAATGACATCCCAGCAGTCTGATGTTTTATTCAGCTTCAGCTCTCCTGCCTTCAGGGCAGTGGGACCCCTCAACAGCCACATGTACGCCCACCTCACATGTACATGCATGATTCATGCTGTGGGAAAAAACTTGAAGATACGACCATTATCATCGACAAAGGCTAAACAAATTCATCCATACAACCGAGATGAGGTCTGGTCGATCCAAGAACGTCCGGAGCTCCTTGTTTACCTTGATAACTTTGCTTTTTCACGTTGATTTTGCTTGATGTGAGGTATAACTTCACCGTTTCCTCTTTGACGTAAAATTCATGAAAACTAAAATCAAACGCAGCCCTAAAAGTTCCTGAGCTGGTTTCAGAAATGTCACCAAATAATCAGGCTCTGCCCTTTTTCCACACAAAGGCCACAGCACACCAAAATTAATGATCTCATTATTTTAATGACCGCAGCTCCACGCACAGCTAGTTCCGGTTCTGCTTTGGTTCCTGGATGCGTTCATTTACACAGCGGCTGTTTACGGATTTTAGTTAACCGCCAGGACCTGTCAGTTGCATGTCCACGATGTCGAGTGACACTGCATGTTGTCAACACAGGCGAGAGTGGAGAGGAAGCGGCTCCCAAGAGATGGATCGTAGACATCGGTCAAAGGCATAGCTGTCGACTATCTCGTTTAGGCCGTGAAACGCTGTGAACACACTTTATTTTATATGTTCGTTTATCATATATTTACATGATATTGATGTTTAGTTTAAAGCAAGCAGCTGATTATCCACATCTGCTGTGCTTTCACATTACTGTCTGACTCGGAGTATTGTCAGAGGACTAAAGGAAATGAAAAGAGATCATTGGGCAGAAATTAAAAACACTGGAGGTTAATGATGTTTCTGCTCTGCACCGTTCTCACCATCAATACAAGCTTTGTCTTAGTACGGCTGAATTTATTCTTGTTCTCCTTCAAGTGTTCATATCAGACAGTTATGATTTCATCTGTAAAATCAGTCATGTGTTCATGCAAATCTGCAACCGTAACCGCTATAAATGTCTGAACAGATTTGCAGAAATATGAGAATTATGTAAAATAAGTTTTTGGTTGTTTGTGTCTGTGTCCTCTCGCTTCATCTTATTTTTGAGCATCTTCCCCATGAAACCAGTTTGGTCACAATGATCCGTGTTCAGATCCAGATTTAATGTAGTTACTCTTTCACTCTTCCACCAAGTTGAATAAAAATCTGTGCAGTTGTCCGACCCTTATCAAGTCAACTCTGAAATCTGCTCATTTTGAGTTTAATGACAGCAGCATGTTACAAAAAAACTGGGTCAGGGACAACAAAACACTGAAACAGCTGTGTGACACTGAAAAAAAAACACCCTGTTAGCAACATAACTGGGAATAAAAAGTCCTTTCAGAGAGGCTGAGTCCTTCAGATGTATCATTCTGTGGCATCATGGATAATTGAACCACTCTGAGAGAGACTGAGTCTGCAAATATTTCAACAAACCTGGTATTTGATCAACTTCAGTCCAGAGAAATAAAATAAATAGACCCGGAGAAGCTGGAGAAGTGTCAGGACTAGAGACGAATACTAACGGGTGTGATCATTAAGACCTCAGATAGCTCTGCATTATGACTCTGTAGTGGACATCACTGCATTGGCTCAAAAATACAAAACTACAACTAAAAAACTACAATAAAATAAGGGGTAGGGCTGCGGCGATTAGTTGACGTCGACAAAAATCGATAATGAAATAAATCGACAGTGAGTTCCATTGTTGACTTCTGTTGCTGGACGTGTTTTTTCCAGTGGAGTGAGGCATCTTACTTCATTTACGATCTCTGCATTGTTGTGTGTCATGGCAGCACGTCGGTGACGCACAAACATATCTGATTATTCAAGTACAATAGTCGTTAGCTGCAGCCCTACAAAGGGGAAACCTGGAGCCAGTGACTTCTGGATCCCAGTTAAGGTGGACTGGAGTTAAGGTGGTCCAAACCTTTTTGAATCTGGTTGGACAGGATCCGTTTTTCTTCAGCCAGTGCAGATGTTGATAATGTGAGAACAGGTCAGCAAACAGCTGATTATTATCTAAAACATGATGTTAGTTCAGGATCCAGGATCACGTCTTAAAATAGAGTTTTAGTGAAATGATGAAAAAGACGTAAACTGGCTTCAGATTTCAGAACATGGCAGATATTTCTGTCAGAAACAACATTAAACTGCATTATTTACTTTAATAAAACATTAAACAGATATGCTGTTGTCGGTGATGGTTAAAACACACTTAATTGGTCTAATTAAACAGCTGTCTGAGTGATAAGTCTGTCTAATGAGCGCCTGTATTTAGAATAAAACAGATTTTTGTTTTAGTTAAAGCGCTCGATGTGTCGTCTTTGCGCTTTTTTCAGTCACATATGGAGTTAAAAGGTCCTTAAATCCTCACCCTCTGTTTTTACATTTTACCCAGAATCCCAACTGTTTTGGAACTGGGGTTGTACACCGATAATCCCGCAGATGAACAAACACACGGCGCCAAAAGCACAACTTCCATGGTTGGAGCAGATAAGAAACACAGCGACCTTTTCCCTCAGATTTTATCGTTGCTTTTTTTGTTTTTTTGTTTTTTGTGCAGCACAAAGTAAAAGTTGTGTCAAGAGTGCAAATCCCTTCAACTCATAAAAAAATAACCTTAAGAATCCACAGTGCAAAAGAAAGTGGAGGATAAGGAAACAAAGCGTTGGATGCAAAGATTTCTACTCTCTTTACACCGCGCTGAGACATCAGACTGTCTTTACATAAAATATAAAACCGTGCCGCCATGAGGCAAAGGTTTTAGTCCAGCCCTGCAGAAAATGTTCACTCGCAGACTTAATACATTCAGTAAATATACTAATCTTCTGGCTGACATCTCTGACCTCAGATTTTATGTTCTGGGGGGTCATACTGAGGATAAAACTGCTTTGACATCTCCAGCAGCCAGACTGTGTGTGTGTGTGTGTGTGTGTGGGAGGGGGACGGAGACAAAGACCGTCTTTTAAAGCCGCTGTGTGTTTTCAGCTTTTTCATGATGTTTGTTCGATGTGTACTTTGAAGTGTTTTAATAAGAAAACGACATACGTAATCCAGCTTAAATACACCGGACAAACATTTGAAAAAGGGATGAATGAGAGTGTGTCGATGGAGAGATGAAAAGGGAAATCTACTTTATACTTTCCAACAGAAAAAAAGAAACAGATTTTTCAATGTTTTTTTAACAAAACTCAACTGAACAGAATGGTCTGGGATAAGAATACAGGCGACATATTAATACAAGTTTTAAAGACGTGTGAAGCAGAGTTTAAAAATCTTCAACTGTCATGTATCGGTATAAGCAGCGTTTTCCAAAGACTGACATCCTCGTCTCTTTTTCCTTCGAAGCTCCAATTAGAGATGATTTCTGCAGATTATAGATGTACTCACATAATATCAAAGGATGAACAACGAAATGACGTCTTTCTATTTGAAGTAAATCCAGCCTCTTCATGATAACGGAGAATGTAATGTTGTTGGAGAGCATTTCTCCTTATTGATTTGAAACATTAATCCCCAAACGCTGAAACACTCTGAGGTATTCATGGATACAGATTACATCCTTTTGAGTCTCTGGGGTTTTCTGAATTATTGATGCAGCCGAGGTTTTAAGGAGTGTGAAATTCTTGAAAAATTTTCAAAAGAGGAAAGAAAATGGAAACATGTCGTGGTGCAACCCTGAGAGTCCACCGGGACTTCAGATAGTTTCATCAGTTCACTGGAAACCTTCATGCGTTTAAGGAAATGACTCAGTCAGAGAGGTGTTTCACGGCGGCAGTCATCAGTACAAGGAATGTGCACGATTAATCGATGATCGATTAATCAATCATAAAGAATTTTGATCATTCTAACGTTATTATGAAAGGGCTGAAAGCACGCGTCCATCCTCCAGCTGATTTCCAGCAAAGATCAACATAGGAAGTGCGAGTGAGCATGTAGCGCGCAGTGCTGAACAACAGTTGGTTTTCTGCCATCCACATTTAAAAAACGATCAAATTTGATAATTGATCGTTAATTTATGTGATTAATCGATCGATGGAACTTTTTTAAAATGTCCATTCCTAATCAGTACTAGTGATGGAAGATCAGTTCTTCTGACTGAATCTTTAGAATCCGTTCATTAAAAGCATTCGTTCAAAAGATTCTTTCAGTCAGTTCTTCCGAGCCCCGTCCCGCCAATGCAGTACACCACTGAGTGACACAGCGGCGAGTTCGTTCATTGACCGAGCCCCTCCCCTCCCCTCCCCTGCTGCTGATGTCACAGCATCGTTCACTGGGTGACACATGTCGTTCATTCGCCAAGTCCTGAAGGAAGTATCACTCCCCTGCCCTGAAAAACTCACCTCTCTGTGTGCAGCGAGCAGCATGCCGCTAAACGAGAGCGAGTAATCATTCTTTTATATCGCGGAAAAGTGAAGAAATCAAAAATAAACATGGCAGCTGATTCTGACACTTATTTAAATAATATGAAATAATTCTTTAAATCGGCCCACTGGCTGCCTGTGTGTCATTTGCCATTTGCTGCAGGGTCATGGTCAGCTCTGGGTCATTTAAAAGTTCATATAAATTTAGACAGACGGAACACACGAGGGCTGCAACCAACAATTCTTCTAATAATCGATTAATCACACGATTATTTTTACGATGAATTTTTTGATTAATCCATGAATCAGATACAAAAACAGTTTAAGTTTCCACCTCTTTATTACAAAATAAAACATTTGAACTGACAGAGAAAGTAAGTGCACATAAACATGTTGCTGCTTGAAGTAGTTTTATAGTTCGTACAGCAGAAGTTTGGACCGCTCCTGTCTTCTGTCGACCATGATCACTTCCATGACTTTGTGGTTGTCGTTCTTGCCAGCTATCAGTGTAGGAGGGACTAAATTGAAGGAATTGATAAGGGAACATTCAATTATCAGTTTGGTATCATTTATAAAAACAGATCATGTCCACGATTCAAACTAGTTGGACTCAGTTCTGATCTAAAACCAACAGAGGAAAGGTTTTCCTCTATTTTTCTCGCCCCAGCTCGTCAGTTGAGTCGAACAGTTTGTTGTCCCGCCACAGGCGGTGCAGTGGAGTGATCGAGTGGGTAACTGTGGGTTACATAATGTTACTGAT